TTCTGACATACATGGATTTGAAGGTCAAGCCATACTAGCTCTTCCTTTTAACTTGTATTGTATTTTCAAAGCAATAACACATTATAAAACATTGTTAATACATATTTTTGTGTTTTTCTAATACTTCTGTTTGTTTGTTTTTTGACTTTTTGCCACTTAATTCACAAACTTCAGTGCTGTTTGCTAAAAAGTTCTGCATAAATTTTCTTGCTCTTCAAGGTGATTGAAGATAATATCCTGGCAATATTCAGCTGTGTTTGTCTTCATGTTGTGCTTAGCTGGTTTAGAAATACATATATATGCAGATATATATAAAATCTGAATTTCTGTAGAAGGGGAAATCTGGTGGAATACTGTTAAATAATAATTACTGAAATTTTGAAAGGAAGAAGTTACTCATTAATACTCTCCTTTACTTCAATGTGTACCTATTTTGATTTAAACCAATGCCAATTATATTACCATGGCAGAAGTAAGTTGCTGGGTTTTCTTTGTTGACCTCCCCACATAAAAGAAGTAATTATCTTAACTGAAGAACCTATATATTTGTCAGCATTAAACTGTAAGCTTTGACTTCACACAATTTTTTTTGTGCATAAAAATAAAATTTAAAGAAGACACTTAAAGGAAAAGACAAGGTTTTTCTAAGGTGGGAATAAAGTCTAAACATTGGCACAGTAAATACTGTAAAGACAAAAGTGGGTTCAGGGGTGCATAGAGGTACCTTTTGACTATCAAACTCTGGTATTTGTGACAGCTGGCATAAAAAAATGAAGTGGATTTTGTTTATTTGATTACTTTCCTTTGGCATATCTCTGCAATTTAAAATAGAAAAACTTGACTTGAAAAAAGCCACGACAAAGTAAATAAATTTGGTGAATTGCATTTCAAAAATTATTTTTATTTTTAAAATATGAGGTTTTTTTCCTTCATTTGTTCTGTATACCAAAACTAAGCCTGGTTAAGCATAAATTAGTGCCACTATGACCTAGAAAGTAATTGGATAGGGAGGAATAAGCACCTCCATGGTAGCATGGAGAAGAAAGCCTTGTCTCTAATATGGAGGCAGTAGAGTGCCTGTCCTGTGTTTTCTATCATTAAAGAGCTCTTTATAATAGAAAAGTATAGGAATTGTGCTGTGAAGTTTTGTGGGTTTTGTTGCTTATGTTTGTGTGTTTGTGCGAGACTCCAAAAATAATGAAGTCTCAAAATAAATGCTGACAACTTAAATAGTGATAGATTTCCATTACAGAGCAATAATGCCAAAATAGATGCCAGCTTTGCTGAAACTATATGGTGAAAAATGGTCCTGCTAACTAATCGTGTTAACAGCCTCACATCTTAACAGTGACATAAGCTTAATGACCAAAAGGTTTTTTTTCTGTTATTTAAGTCTTATTATGTTATTAAGACTGATTTAAGTCTTATTTCTGGGGCAAATGTGTTGGTAAGAGCTAGTTGCTTCAGGCAAACAAACAACATCACCTGATTGCAGTAAACAGCAAGTTTTACTGCAGAAGTAGTGAATTCTATGGTTCATAACTTCCTGGCTTCAATGTGATATGTAAACTGTCTAGGTCACAAATTTTAAAGTTGTCTTACTCTATATTCACTGCTTGCTTGTGAAAAAAATTACTGTGCTGGTTTGTATAGTGTGTTCAAAGCTTAAAAAAAAAGGTCTGGAAATATAATCGAATAGGATAATGGTTAGGTTATGAAATCATGGAGTTTTCTACTTTACATTCTGTCATGCAGATATGGGAATTACCTGGTGGAAGTTCTAGTTCTGCTGTGTGGAAACTCAGGTTTATACAATGCTGATCTGTGTGAGCTATGAGAGTGAATAAGATAGACTGTCAGACTCTGATTCTTGATGACACATGAACAATTTGTTCTGCTAAAACTTATTTATAAAGATGCCAAGTGAATGAACAAAGTTGCTGTTAGCCCCACCTTAAAGTAAAAGGGAGAGGCCGATGGACAAAGCACTTCTTTCTCTGTCAGCAGGAAGATGTTTGCAAACAGGAAAAGAACTGAGTGCTGTCAGAAGTAAGAAATATTCTGCACAAAGTAGCTTTGCTATGTTGACTGAGTTTGTTCTGTATAATAAATCCATCTTTCAAACATGTACTCCTAGACCTCTGCAGTCACAGAAAGCAAAAGGCTAATTTGATGCGAACAATCTCCAAAATGACACTACCCCTACAAAAAACACATGAAACAAACAACAGAAACCACCACCAACTAACAAGCAAGGAAATAAATTTGAGCTGGCAATGATTTCATCTCAGAACTGCAGAATATGCTTTATGCTAACTACAGGAGTGTAGTCAATATCAGATGGAGCATAAGGTTGGTTCAGATGAAATGTGTACTCCTGAATGTTCTGGCATGGTAGAGGAGTGATATTGTCACTTAGAATATGAAACAGTGTCAGAATATGAAACAAGAGTACCACAGTCCAAATAAACAAACAAACAAATAAATAAGTGAAAAAGAAAAGGTGGCTTCCTTGGAGACAAAGCAAGAAGTGAAAATATGTCTGTGAATGAGGACTGAACATCCAGCTCCCACTTGGTGCCTTTAGGAGTCTTACAATTTGGACACCTGTTTGTACTCCGTGTGACGACAGGTTTGGAGGTGGACTAGAAGAAGTTACAGTGTTATCCTGGCCTGGCAAATCCAAGTTATCTTGTCAAACTCTTGTTGCTCATCATAGACTGAAGCCTATGGAAGGTGTACTCTGCACTCTTGGCACCTTACAAGGTTCACCCAAACCCAAAAACACTTGAGATAAAAACATATGCAGAGTAGCAGCTGCAGCTTGCAAATAACACTCACCACACTTTGTGCGGCTCTGTACAACACAAGTCCAGACAATTCAAGACATTCTAGAGTTTGCAGCAATATGCAAGAATTGCAATAAATGGTATCACTGCCATAAAAGTTTGCCAGCACTTATTGGCCATGCAGTAAGACAGCTACTGTGCCAGCAGTGCAGAATAATTTTGTGATGAGACAGACAATGTTATACCAGAACATAACCCTTTTCTCAAGCAGTGTGCCTTTCGTGAAGGAAAAATTACTATTTGATATAAAGTATCAGTTTACAAGAAAACAAAAATACGAGCTATAAGGAGGGGTGGATTTGCCAGTTTTCCTTCTTTCTTTTTTTTTCTGTATGTGTTTGTTTATTTGGGGTGCATTTGTTTTCTTGTTTATTTCTTTTTTGTTTCTTTGTTTTTATGGATCTTGCCTGTAGGAATGATTCTAGGTAATTCCTACAAGAGGAGCTAGAAAAATGTATTGCTCTGATTCTCATAGGGAAAGTGCTTTGGTGGTGGTTAACACCATAAGACATGGTACTTGTTTTCTCATGGCTCCTTTTAATCACTGCTAGATTATTATTTTGTTTTTCTTTTTTCTTTCTCACACCCACTACAGTATAAGGATTATAACTGAAAGTTTTTTATGTAGTTAATGCTTTAAATATTTCTGGAATGGTCTCTAGTTGACTCTAAATGCATCAGAAAGTAGCTTTTTCTTCAGTGGCGGCACTACTCTGGCTGTCTTTCTGCTACCTGAACAGTTATCTTTGTGAAAACTTGTATGAATTTACTGGTTTCAACATCTCTAGGTCTCTGTTAAAAGAAAGTACTTGAAATTTAGCTTGAAAGATTAAGCATTGGCAGGCAACACACAAGCTTAAGAAAGATGGCAATTGCATAGTTCTCTTATATTTGCTATTATGTGATCTCACCCACATGGTCTGATTCTGGTTATCCTGAGCAGGTCAAGATGCTTGGTGATCCTTGTGGGTCACATCATTCCAGGTATTCTGTGATTCTATAATTATTCAGAAATTGTTTGTAAAAATACTTATCTGTCGTTAAAAGCACGGGAATTCCAAGCTTCGTTTAGGGCCTTTTTTGGAATGTAGAACTAAAGATAAGAAAATATGACAGCACATACCTTCTTTGGATGACAACTTTCTGCAGACTGTGATCCAAACCACATTTGGCATGAAGGCTTGATAAATTTATTTTTTATTATTATTAATTACACATATTCTAGCCTATACACTATACAGTTTTCAGCTGTATAAAGCAATAGAAAGTGTGGCAAAACTGCAGGGCTACAACTCCAACAGATAAAAACCAATAATGTAAATGACCCGAAGATAAAAAATTGCCTGCTGCCATGCCTCCCTTATCCTCTAAAAGCAGGTAAGTTGTCCTGGAGATAGTGAAGGCCACTTAAAGAAAATTTTGCCTAATGTAGCAACTCGATTTAGCAGACTGCCTCAAGTGAGGGAGGATATTGTTCCTGGGGAAAGATCCCTCCTAGGTAGCACAGAAACAAGGTGTGAGGAATTGGATACATCAATAAAATACGATGGACAGACACTCTCTACAAATACCTAAAAGGAGGTTGAAGTCAGGTAGCTTTCACCCTCTTCTCTCACGAGTCGTAAGGCTTAAACTACGACAGGGGAGTTTTAGGCTAGACATTAGGGGAATTTGGTCACAGAAAGCGTGAGTAGACATTGGAATGGACTTCCCAGGGAGGTAGTGGAGTCACCGTTGCTGGAGGTGTGTAGGGAAAGACTGGACATGGCAATTAATGCCATGGCAATTGACAACCCGCTGGGTTCGGTCATAGGTTGGACTCGACGATGTCTGCGGTCCTTTCCAACCCAATTGATCCTGTGACACGCACTGACAACGGGGCGCAGAAGAAGCTCTGTGCGAATAGCCGGCCCCGCTCGGGTGTGACGGCGGGGGTGGCAGGCTGTCCCCTCGGCCACCCGCGGAGCCGCAGCCGCGCCGCCAGGTGCTGCCTCCCGCCCGCCTGCCCAGCCCGGATTTCCCGGGGGCCGCGCGGGGCGGGCGGGGCGGCGCATGCGCTCGGCGGTCGCGCTGCCCGCGGGAGGCAGGCGGGGCCGGGGCCGGGGCCGGGGCCGCCGTGCGGGGAGAGGGCGGCGGCAGCGCCGAGCACAAACTCCGGAGGGGAAGCGGCACGGCCGGCCTCCGCCCCCCGCCTCCACACACACACCCTGTAGCGGGAAGGGGGAAGTGAGCGGCCCGCCCCCCCTGCTCGGTCCCGGCGGTGCACGGTTCTTCCCGGGACTCGGTGGCGGCGGGCACTGCGCCCCGGGCGGAAGGCGAGCGGCGGTAGCTGGGGCCTGGAGCCGCCGCTGGAGGAGGGGAAGAGCGGGGTGTTCCCGCAGCGCCAGTTGATGCGCAGCCTGAAGGGCGGCTCCTGCGGCGGCTCCTGCGGCCTCGCTATGGCCGGGCCCCGACGGTGAAGGCAGTGGGAGCCGCCTGTGTCCGCGCCGCGCCAGGAGGCGGCGCCGCGCAAGCAGCGGGCGGGCGGGGAGGGGGATGAGCAGCGCCGCAGCCGCCGCCGCCTCTGCGGGAGCTGCCGCCGCCGCCTGCACCGGGGCCGAACGCGGCTACTCCTTCTTCTCCGGCGGCGCCGCTCCGGCCATGGGGCCCGAGGAGGGCTCGGCCGGCGGGCTGGGAGCCCTGCCCGCCCCGCCGCCGGGCTGCCGGAGCCGCTACCAGCTGCTGCTCTCCGGGAAGGCCCTGGCCGACAGATACCGGAGGATTTACACGGCGGCTCTGAGCGACCGTGAGCTGGGGAGCCACCCGGGCAGGTAACGCGCGCCGCGCTCCCTCCCGGGCCAGACGCGCAGCCCCCGCCACCCCTCCCATCGCCGGCTGGGAGCGGCCCGGCGCGTGCACCTTCCTCCCTCCCGGCAGCCGCCCTCCTCATCCTCCTCTCCGCCCCCGTGCCGGGCAGCGCGGGTGTCCCCGCTGCCATGTGGCCGCAGCCGCCGCGCCCCGGGGGACGGACGGAGGGAAGGGGCGGTGATGTAACCCGGCGGCTGCCCAGGTGCCGCCCGGGCCCCGCCGCTCGTTTGGAAGGCGATACCGCGCAGATGGCGCTGCCGCCCCCTCTCCCGGGGCCCTCCGGGGCACAGTTACCTGTGCCCGCCCCAGTGTGCGGCCCAGCTGCCCCGGGGGGATGGAGAATGCCCATGCTGAGCCCCCGGGCAGACCTCGCTCCCGTCAGGCTTGCCGGAACGGGCTGAACCCTGTGGTCTCTCCCGAGACAGACTGCTCAGGGCACCCGCGGGTCCTGCTGGCTGTGTTACCCGAGCGAGAGACCGCGGTGCTTTTTCCATGTACTAGGGCTGCCTTCAGCTGCCCTGCCTTATTTTTCCTCCTCCTGTTTAGGTCATTTTTCCCCTTTGCTGTCGCCATGTAGGCGGCCTCGGTGTCTGGAGGGAGGCAGCGCCTTGCCGGGGGGTTGTCGGGTGCGGTGCGGCCCCACCTGGTTCCCGAGCACCCCTCCCCCGGCGGATGATGCCCCTCGGGGCCCCCATTCCCGGTCCTGTCAGCTGGCTCTAGGGCCGCAGCAGGGTGCCTGTTGCTCCTCCGGCCGGGAATGCCGCCCTGCCCTGCACCCGGGCGGGGAGGGGGCTGCGGGCTGTAGCGGTGCGAGGCCGCTCTTACCCCGCAGCCCCCGGACCCTCCTGGCCCTGCAGGCCGTGGTGGAGTGCCCGGTCTCGCTGTGTGAGGGGCTCCCCCGTGGTGCCCGGGCGCTCCCCATTGTTTCCCTCCGGAGATCGCTTAGGATGTGGATGACACGAAGCCAGTACCTTCCTGTGTACTCAGCCTCTGCCGCTCTTCAGGCTGTGATGCGGGTGGCCGGGTCCTATGGAGAGCTTTGAGTCACGGTTGTTTAAGTTTGCAAATGGTTGTAAAGCACGAGGAGGTTGCTTGCTTGGCTTCTTCAGGTTTTTTGTTAGTCGGACTTGACGGCAGGGCTTATCTCCCACCCCCCTCGCCCCAGAAAGCTGTGTCTAGGAGTGGAATTAACATAAAACATGTACCTTTCCCAATTTGCTTATGGAACATGCTGGAAACGTGAACTGATAACATGGGTACTTGACATCTTTGCAACTTCCGACTTCTTTTCAGTGTCGATGAAATGATAGGGAAACTGGAGTTCTTCTTTCCCTCCTGAAGACCTGCAAGTGTTTTCTTACTGTATATGTGCCTTAGTCCATGCTTATACTTTTGCCATTAAATCTCTCCCTGCTTTTGAGCTTCGTGTCGTTTAATCCCGGGATTGCAAGTGCTAACTGTAAGGATGCTACAAAGTGCAAGGAAATCAGCTATGCAGTTGCTCCTCAGTGCTCAGAAACCTGTCTGAATTTTGCCCTAAGGGGTCTGTATTTTTTAAAGCTGTAGTTTTGCATTAGTCGTGTCCTCCATGACTTTTAGTTTCAGGATGATTCAACTGCTATCCCTTATACTTAAAATTGTAGCAAACACTAGCTTTAGGGGGGTGTAAATGTTAATGCTTCTTTTAATTGATGTTTTTGGGGTCAAGTTAAAGAAAACTGGCTCCTTGTACAGAACAAACAGGTTATATTAAGCTTTGGCAAGTAAATGACAGTAGTTAATACTGGTAAATACAGCCAGTGTGTATTGGACTTTTGAGAGAAGGAATACTTAATAATTATCTAGTTTCCTGCTATCACTACTCCCACTATTTTATGTGGGAGACTGATGGCAGCCAAGATACTGCTTGTGATCTCCGCCCTTTCTCCATATTGGTATCAAAATACTGCAAAATACTTCAGCCACCTGGTAGACTTAAACAGAAATGGTCCAAAATGCCTTTTTACAAAAATAATAGAAATTCCAAATATTTTCTAAAGAGATGCTTTAAATTTAACTGTGGCTGCATCTAGTTGCTATGGTAGAAAACAGTGACAGGTTAATTAAATGGAGTTTAAGATAATATAGTTTATGAAAAAATTTTAACTTGATTTATATATATATATGGAAAATCTGAAGCCTCTTAATCAGTAAGATTGTCAGTAAGAGTGTTTGTGACTAAAAAAATGACTTAAAGCAGCTGAAAAAAAGCTAATCAAATTGGCTTATCAACAGTAATAAAATTCTTCCTGTGTTCCAAGAAGACTAATGTGAAGAATGATAGTGCAACCTCTTTGCAAAAAGTTGATGCGGAATTTTTGCTTCAAGTCTGCAAAATTATACTCTACACTTCATGGGCCGTGACCAGTGCCTGCCTCAGTAGGTGTTTCTGTTCTAAAACTAACTTCAGTGTTTATGAAGAACTAGCAAGCAGTATGAAAATGCTTGTATGTAGACAAGGAAATCAAACATTGTGGAAATTATCTTAAAGTCTAGATTAGTATCACATTTGCAAGGTGTTTGTGCTGGCTGTCATCTGAAGGGGTAAATATCACGTGTTGAGTAGGATGCAGTAATTGGCTTTGAAACAGAACCAGCAGTGCTTTGCATTTCCTCATGTGATACAGGCTGCAGTGTCATGAGCACTGGTCTCCACAGGAGATGGATCGGTCGGTGTGCTTGCTCCCCCTGCCACACTGACATAATACTTATATAGTGTCTTGCAGTGACAGATTAGAGACTCTGGGTTAAAATTAACTTGGCAAAACTGGTTTGTTGTAATCCGGACTAATTCCCTGATCTGGCTCACCTTGTGATTGCACTTGTGACAGCAGGAGGTGAAGGGTTGCACAAAGATTTTTGTGTACAGAGAGGCGGGAACAAAGAAACTTAGTTTTGTCACTCATGCCAGCCTAATAATTTTATGAAAGGAAACAGAAAAAAGTATCTTATGCTGCAATTTAACATGCAGTCATCTTTGTGCAGATAACAGTGTTAAGGATCTGCTACAGTACTACCAGCAGTGGGAAATGTAGTTGTCAATTCAAGATTGGAAGAAAAATCTACTCTGAGCATGCCTCAGTTTATAGTCTTTGCTTTGAGGCCAGTGAAATATTTGAAAACAACTGCATAATGTCTAGTGTAGCCATTAAAGTGTGTAAGACACTAGTAGGAAGTATTGGCGTCTTAAGAGGGCAACTAAAAATCCATGTTAAACTGTTGTCTTGTATGCTGGTTTCTGGGTGGACAAAACTGCAAGTGTGTACTGATTTTAGTACTGTACCAAAGCTCTGTATTTACAAAGTAAGGTATTTCTGATTTTCACATTTTTTGCTGTCTTCAAATACACTTTTTTCTGTAGTATAACTTAATCCTAACAAACATTCCTATCCATCTGAATTGCTGCTATTATTGCTTGTGCATCCTGGGAGGTTTTCCTGAGCTGCCAGTCCCTTTACTGTTCTTTCACCTATTTACATACCACCAGAATTATCAGTTAGGCTCAGTATGTTCTCTGATACTTGTCAAATATGGATAGCTATGTAAGTTTGTAATGGCTTTAGTGTAACCTGTTTTGTAGTGGAAGTGTTCACTACATAATTTGGACTAACTTGAAATTGTTATATTGCAATGGCAATGTACTCTAAAATGACATTGAGTTTATAATAATGCTAAAATAACCAGTACTTTGTTGCTAAAGTTGCCTTTCAACTTGGATCCTTCAAAGAAGAAAAGTTTCTATTTGTGTTGTGGATTCTAATGTTGTGGTCTCACTGAGGCCGAGAATATTTCAGAGATGACCGGAATGTAAGATTTCTTCTATTAACCAGAAATTAGATGGCTGGTTTTTTTCTAGCTATTTTGGCTGAAGAAGAGCCAGCCAACTTTATTTCATGTTGACTGTTCCAACTGGATGATTACAGCAAATTTTGAAAGTAGGTCACTCATTCACACTTCTAATGGTAAATTATACATTCTCTGGACATTAGGTTAGTCTTTAGGTTTTTCAAAATTGACAGTCTTCCCTTATATCCTTACTTATGCTCAGTACTGCTTGTGCTTATTTAGGGTGTTTCAAGTATATATACTTGAAAATTTAGTGCAGAAATGTTACTGAAGCTTCAGCTTTGCCTTGTCAAATGAAAAAGTTCAAAGATTTTGTGAAAACTATTTTAAAATAAGTTTAGGTATATGAGATTTGTGTAATTTGATTATTGCTACACAAGAAAGCTTTAATTTCTTCAGATCAAAAGCCTTTACAAAAGCTGTTAGCTTTTTTGGTTTGGAACTTGTTGCTCTTTTAATATGGAATAATAATTGCAAAGACTTAGGAAGCATTTATTTAGTTTAAAAAATAATGATTATATATATATAAAGACTAGCAAAATGACAGTGGTGTTACATGACCTACTATATTTTCCTGCTTATTCCTGTGCAAAGGTTTGCTCCATATGTCCTTTCCAACTGAAATATTTTAGTCTAGTTTAAGTTGTCTGTTTTTCAGTTCGTATGTTTTGTAAATGTAATTTTACAAAACAAAGTTTAAGTCTTGTGTAAACTGAAACTATTTAATTGGGAAATTGATGTGCTGTTGAGTCTTAGATTAAGCTGTGCATTAGAAGAGCTGGTGAGAGTTGCTGTTTTCTGTTATGCTTTTTAGCTGCAGTGTAGTAATGTTTTAATACTGCATTGCCCTATTGGTTAATGGGGATTAGAGAATGACTGAAATAGTGTGTTTTTACTTATTTACCTTATGTTCTGTTAAGGAAAACAGTTTTATGTAGTAGTTTTTTTAAAAGCTTCTAGTAATCTCTTAGTCTAACATGGTTGTATTTATTCAGTTTTGGTATAAAAAACATAATAGAAGCTGGAAAGACCCCAATAATATTACATTGAGAGGCTTAAGATGGGCATTTAATTTGTG